TTACGCACCAACAACAATCGCAATGTGCAAAGAAAATGACTAAAAGCACAATTTGTGTGGCTATCAACACCTTTGACAGTTTGTTAGGAGGAAGCGGGTGGTCAAACTCCAAATTTTCTAAGTAGGTTTGCTGGATGAGATTTTCAAAAATAATAGTGAGTCACATTTTGGAATTTTTACAATTGTTTACGAGAATGGTTTGAATTTATATTTTTAGAAAAAACAGCAGTGAAAAGGGTTAAAAATGATTCCTACGTTTATTAACGACTTTTGCAATTTTACAAGTTATTTACAAGTTACAGTCCAAATCTACATCTCACAACCGCAATAGTGCAAAAATATATCTAATAAACAAACAATTTGGTGGTTAATCAACTTATTTGGAATAAAGCGACACAACTCACGCAGCACCCTTGTTTTTATTTAACCACTCGTTACTCTCGTACCAATCTTGGACTCAATTACCTACTAAATCTAATGTCTCGCACTTGTAATGCCTATCAGTTTGATATATTTAACTTGTCACAACAAATGTTAAATGTCTGTTTGTCGAATGAATTAAAACTTTCTTATCAACGTTAATTAATATTTTTTCCAAATTGTACCTATTTATTTGTTATATTATATTTATTGCATATTTATTATATTTGAATCATGACCATCAGTACTATTTTAGTTAGTATACATTCTCTTGTTAATGTTAATATATTATTTAAATATTATATGGTCATTCTTAATTATATTTTGTATTCTTATATTCATACTGTATTTTATATTTATATTTTGAGTGAAACTGTTACTGTATAAGACTGCCACCATAGAAGACGGACATTATTCCCTTGTTGTATTTATTTCTATATTGTAAAACTCTTGTTAACATTCTTTTTGTATGATTAATGCTACAAAGTAATTGGCATGTGCTGTTTTGTAGCATTGAAAAAATAAAATAAAATAAATAAATACACGTTTTAAGGGATGCGATTTTATAAATGCATTAGTGCAAATGAAATTTCTTTTTAAAAATTTTGTGTTTATTATCCTCTTGGTTATTTTTTTAGTTTTTGTGAAGAGTGGTCTAAATTAATTTTAAAGGTCACTCTTTAAAGTCTCTTTAAAGGATCACTCTTGGTATGGGTTATGTTGCGGTTTTATTTAGTTGGTTGCCATCCAATATACGAAATCGAAAATAAAAAGAAAAAACCAGACTGTATGATTACTACCACAAAGTTTACAAATAACAATAAATATGGCAGCTTGCGGGTAAGGCCTATACTTATGCTAACATCTCTGCATACTCATGTTTGATATATACAGTGCTAATATACATTAAAAAATACACTATACCTGTAATTACCTGTAATTTTCTTTTTTTCTGCAAATAAATCCGTCAAGTTTTGCTATTTTTGTACTTTCCAATTTGTTTTTCATTTCACGAAGAGGCAATACATTTTTAGTTATAGGAGTATTTCTGTTAACTTTAGGATTATTTTATATTCCTATACTTAAGACGCCACAGAGAGCGGCAACTTGTATTTTTCAAGTGAAGAGACTGGACTCAGTTGTAAATAAAATTGTTTAATTTTTTTTGTTTTACGTTTGCCACGGTTACTGGATAATGTGGCAACGTAGTTCCAAGTGATTGTATTATTTTGTATTTATTTGTTTTGAAGGAATAAACTCATTATTTCATTCATTATAATAATTATTACGAGATGTCAACACAACTAAGGTGCAGTTAACCCAAATATGGTATGTACAGTCTAAATAAGAGTTAGATTATTCATGCAGCTTTGTCACTGACTAAGATCAGCTGTATCTTTAGTCATGACCGTTTATTAAACGGTAAAATGATCCAGGTGATGAGGATTCCAGTAATTAAGATCAGCTGGGTTCAGATTCAACCTATTGCTTTCTTTTTGCAAGATGGTTTTAGGGGCTAAGTAGCCGACCTGTAATGTATTTATATATGTAATATAACATGTTTTACTATTTAATAATTTACGAGGCTATGTTGGCAATATGTAAATGTATACGTTGAACTCAAATCGTTTGTATTTCCCACTACCAGTTAATAATATTTCAATAAACGATTGCTATTGGACGATCGGGTCACGCCACTTCCCCAACCCATGAGTCCATGTTAACCGACACCCCCAGACCTCAGTTATAGCCATCGATGTATATAAAGGTTATATACATCGATGGTTATAGCATTGAATAAGGAAATAAAAGTTTCCCTTGTTTCCCTTGTCGTTAGCAGTTTTACAGTGTTAAACAGTAGTTCTTATTAACTTCCCGATTCCCGTAGTGTAAGACGTCAGGGTGACGTAGTGACAATAATGGTAACGGTGCATGGGTATCACCGTGTAAACGAAGATACTTCACGACCTATGCGAAGCATTCGCACTGAATCCTTCTCAAATCCCACTTAACTGAAGTACACAACATACAGTTAATACTGAGTAGTAAGTATTGTACATCGTTGATTTAAAGGGTTCTTTCTTCAGGAATAGATGTGGGTTTACATTTTAGATTATTGACTTTTTCATAATGTAATGTTAAGTTATTTACGTTTTTTTTTTGTTTATAGGACCTCTTTGATCACTGTGCTTGAACTAATAATATGGCCATATACGATTTTTGTGTTGATGGCTTTGTTTTTACACAGGCAATGTTTTTACTTAAAAAACGCACCCTCGACAAAGCCACAAACAACAGAGCGTTCTACGTCCCTTGGTAAATAACCAAATCAAAACTGAGATAAACTGTTTCCTGACGGTAAAATATCCGACATAATAATTAATAACTTATTTCCTAACTCTCAGATCTCTATTAGTTGTGCAAACCCACATACTTCCGTTTATCTAACAGCTTCTCACAATTCCTATCAAAGTATATGTTACACAGATTTCCCACTAATATAAATACCTAATATTGTTAAGTCAAACACATTATACAAAATCCCTTCCAAAAATACTTAAATTTGTATTTTCATACACCAATCATTTTCACAAAAGTAAATAATTGTTTGACTGAAACGATTTCAGCTTATTTCCAAAGTTGAAATTCCCTCCTCATTCCACGCTATGATACAGTTTAGTTTAGAGTGTTCTAAGAAAGTCGGGCCTAACCATGTTTGGAACTTCCAAAGAGGAGTTTTGCACTTTACAATCCTAGTTTGTTGGGCGGCGCCTGCGAGTACTATTGACTCGAGCACGTTCGGGACAAAAATACCAAAGCCCGGGAAATACCGACCTGGTCCTCAACTCAAGTCAAACAATTTTACAAAAGGTGTCTTGTTTGAAGAGAAATTGAGAAGATTTGATTTTGAAATTTGAACATGTGTGATGTAACTAACAAGATTCGTACAATATACTTTGTACTTTACACTTTCATTTTGTGCGTTTTAACATTATTATTTTTATTACTTTGCAAGAGAACGGTCCATACGCTGCTAAGCCTTTCTCAGATATCGTCCCTAATTAGTAAAACAATGACATGACATCTATTTTTTTATAGGTTTAGAATGCACTTTTGCTTGGGATCGAACCTTGCAACCTCCAAATCTAAGGTAATCACTATAACCACTAGATTACCTAGACATGAATGAATTTAAATGGTTAATTTATTTAAATATGCTACTAAGTTTTTAGATAAATAAAAACCCTCTAGATATCAGCAATCCACCTGCAAATCAGCAACATTAACCGAAATACAACATAACTAAAATACTTTGAAGTCATTGTGAATATTCGGTAAACTATTGATACAAACAGTGAACTACGTAATGCGTTTATTCAAAACTGTGAATAATGAAAACACAGTTAATGTTTCTATAAATAGTTATATAGCCCTGGGTATCTTTTAGTTAACGCATAATTTAAAAAATGTTCGATGTCAATATTTTCTTTGGATATAATAGACAAAGTACTTAATGCTTAGTATAATATAACTATGGATAAAGCATTTTGTTATAACCATGGAGTCTGTAAACACTTATTTTGATCGACCAAGTGAACAGACACTTCTTTTTACAAATAAGTAGAATGCTCGATAGTAATTAAATGTCAATCGTTAGTTTTACATTAAGAAGGTTAACCTGTGAGATAGTCAGATCCGGTAAAATTTATAATTTTATGTATTCAAACTGCATGGTAGAAATCTTACTTTAAAACTCTCTCTTTATCCTACTTATATAACTGAAATTCAACTACTCGTAGGTTTTCCATAACTTATATTATTCCACATCTACCTTAAGAGATACACGATTTATAAAGTTAGATATAAAGTTAGATATCACTTTTGCTGTAAATTATATCCACCATAGATTAAGGGAGTTTAATCTATGTTGACTATAACATAGAACTATGTGAAATAGTAATTCATTAATAAATGACAATTTAACAACTGCATTGTAAGTTTATAAACTTCATGCTTAAACTTCAAGTTTAAATGTTGAGTTTAAATCTCATAAATAAACAGGTATCACTTTATTTTTTTTACTCATTTAGAAATTTAAAAAAATGTATATTACTTGATGTTCTTGGTTATCCTTATACTTTTTTTCATATTAAAGTTTTTTTATGTCCGCCTTCGTAACAGATCTATTTAATCGTACTTTAACACTGTAAAATAAAATCAATTAATTATTTCTTAACAATATTTCTAGTTTAAACTACTTTTGGTTGTTGTATACAACACTCATCATAAACTAATATCTCACCTCAGAAAAATTGCATTGCCATAATACCCTCCATTACCAAGACTTATTATTGAATCCATATTCATGTCTTATTGAATCTTATTATTGAATCTTGCATTGACCAATCAAAGTTCAAATACTTGAAGATTACGAATCAAAATCAGACTAATTTCACATCACCTCCTCAAACATTAGCGACATTGTCAATTTCCATAATACCCTCTACCCCTTCATTACCGTGACTTCCTGATCGACAGACCTCTGTCTCCCCTATATCAGCCGGGGACTCCGCCCCGCTGGCCACACGTCGGGTAGGGGGGGCCAGTGTGGCGGAGCCCTGCAGTACCGTGCCAGACGTGGTGGTCTAGTACCGTGCGTGCAGTCGTGTAGCCGTGCAGTGCCAGTGACATGTTAACATTCTAACCTTTTGACACCATGTTCTCCACTATGGAACCCCACTTTGGCCAACCCCTTGGAGGATTTAGTTTCCAGAATTGAAAGTAAGTTATTTTTCTTAATTGTAAATTTTTGTGCGGAGTTTATGTTGTTTAAAGTGTTGTTGTGGTCATAATTTTTTATGTGTTTATTGGTGCCAACATTTTTTTTTTTTAAGTGAACTATAAAAACATTTACCATGTTACCACCTAAGCCATTTGTCTAGATAAGATAACTGATTATAATAACTCTAACAAAACTACATCTAGGTCCAGTCTCTTCGAATCTAACCAGCGGCAGTCAGATTTTAAGGCATTAACAGTGATAGTGGTCTACCATTAATATTAAATGAAAGTTTATTTAAAACCCGCGATTTTGGCCAACCACCTGAAAAATGAAGTATCCAAAATTAAATGTAAACATTTAACTTATTTGTTTGTTATTTAATGAATGAGTTCATGGACAATATTTTTAGGGATTTAACCCTTGGGATACTTTAAATGCAAACACATTTTATGGAATATTTATAAAAGGAAATGGTGACAGCTTTAGAGGTAATGCCGTCAATGTAAGTTGTTAATTTTTCAAATTTAATGTTAATTTAATGTTTTTTCATAAGTTTGTCTTTGAAGAATTGTTATAGTTATTATTTTAGTTTTTGCGGCGTTTTGGGATTCCCGACCGTAGGCAAGAAAGCGTTTAAAACAATAGGCCCTAACTAATATAAATATTATGTGCTCGTTGGCACATATTTATATTATGTGCTCGTTGATTATTGCAGACTTTTTTGAGTCACGATAAGCGTTTCCACAATGGTTCAGAATCTGGAATATCCTACTGTTACAAATCTATAAGTAAACAAATAGAATGTAATCTATAAGAAGTATACAATAAATATCGTAAATATAAGTTGCGTAGGCTAGGTTCACACATAACATTGAATTGGAAAGGGACGCTTTGGATGATTCCTCGGAGAATTTAGTATCCAAAAGTAAGTAAGTTTTTAATAGGGTATAATTTTAATAATGAATGTACACGAAACAATCTGCAGGTGGACAACCATATAGACAACTAAATAGATTGTTTGGTATTTGTTATTGTATTCATCCCAATAGACACTTTTTAATAATAAAAAAGATGCCGCCATATATTTTGAAACAGTAGTTTCAATGACCTAAGTTAACCATAGGGATTTTTTTTGTGTCCAGCCAAATTCATCATACTTCAATGCAAGGTTTCAGGTTGTATCACTTTGTACTGAGCAATTTGTGTGATTGCCGAACAACATAAAATGTATCGTGATTGGAGGTAATATATCCAAACAAAATTAATATGATTGGTGTAAACTGTATAATTTTATTTCATTCATTTCAAACAATCTTCATTCATTTAGCACATATTTACAGTACATTGAACAGTGTCGATAAGTGATTCTTTATTAAAACTTACGTATGTTTATAAATGGATTTTAGTAATTCATTTCAAGCTTTAATTGGATCATTTGCAGCAAAACTTTATAACGTGCAAAATTATTTGAAGTGTATATTCCAAGAAAGAGAAGGTGAGGAGATTAATTTGTCATGTACTGTTTCATATGTTTATCTATTCAATTACATTGTTTTAATATAACTTTTTTTGTTTATGTGGTTCTTCATACAATTTTCAATGTTTTCCAAACGCTTTTTATTCACTTAACACATTCATTTTTTGGGAAGTAGAAAATAACATTTTAAAAAAGTTTATCGACCTACAATGCAAACGCGCTCATAACATGATGACGAACAATAAACTCGGTATTCTCATACATTTTTGAGTCATTGGTGGAAATTTTAATTAATATAGACGATTTATTTTTTAATACAAATGAAAATATGAGTTATTAGTTGTTTGATAACATTTATATTTTTCAATACTTATCTGTAAATATGAGTTTAGAATTCATGTTCATTTACATTTTTTTTACCCGATAAGAACACTTTTTAGCATTGATAATTTATAATTTTTTTTTGCTTTGCTACTTTTTCAAACTGTTATGTTTACAATATTAATGTCCACACTATCTACTACTCTACTACTATACCCTTGTCCTTATACATTTTATAGGACATAATCTACGTGAATAAAGTTTGGTAAAATGCTATTATCGTATCTTAATTTACATAAATCAGTTTTTATATTAAATTGAATGAATGGCTCATTTCGCAGTAAATTGGGATGTTAAATTGAATACTGAGCAAGGGTTTTTAATTTATGGACATTCCTAAAGTTTAAAATTTAAAGCCCTATATTGAAAGATTAAATTGCAGAGTATATTGAAAGTGTTGATTCGAGATGCATTAACACTTGAACTCAATGAATATTAAATTCTGTATTTCAAATATATTTCGACGGTGTTGTGCAGATTTGCAGTCTATAAACAAATCCACACAACACCGTTAAAAAATCATTAAATTTTTAACTCTTTCGTTTTAACATAGTTTATGCACACTCTTTAGTAAACGTTCTGATTTTTTACCCACTTAGTTTTTTATTTTATTTTTGGCACGTCGAGATTTAAAGTTTTTGACACTATTGAGCACTACGGCAATCTAAAATTGTAAGTCTTATCATAACTTATCGTCTAAGCAGTAAATGCTTATCATAAAGGTAATTTTACATTGACAGATAGGGCAAAACATACAGACCTACTTTTGCGGTTCCCATTGAAATATAGCAAAATAAATTTCTACGAATGTGTGCTATTGTTTATGGCAATTTAAGCTTGAGTCACTCAAATATTTTAATGAGAATATAATATAATTTCGTTGTTAAATATATATTTCCTTATAATTATTTCTTCTACATATGCATAATATTTCTACTGTATTTCTATTCTATTTTTTCCATTACAGAAAATGGTTGGGGCTCAGAACCTTTTGTTCGATCTTATTATTTGATTTTATTTTGGACTTATTTCAGTGTTCAATGAGCAATAACCTCAAGTTTTAGCAAGCATATTTTAACCATTTGATTCATAGAAAATTTAAAATTGCTTGTTAAAGTATTCATTAACTTTTAATTAGCTTTATTGAAAACTATATTTGTAATAATTATTTAACATTATAATGTCTGAAGTACAAAATTTAAATTTGAATCCAAACTAAGCATTGTAATTTTTAAACATTGGGAAATATTGTTGTAGACTGTTGTCGTTTAACATTCATATCACCAGTTATTTCGATCAATAGGATTAATAGGATGTTGATTAGTGATTTTAATAATATGTTGATATCATAGAATAACTTTAGACTCATACAGGTTTTTTTTTTTTTTTTTTTTTTTTTATAAAATATACTAGGCCTATAAACCTTGCCTGAATTCGAGAGTATTGTTTTATTATCTAATAATGCATTTTCCGTGATATTTTTGAAACAAATTAATAAAATCTTTTATAAGTAATTGCGAATATCTAGTTGTTATAAAATATCCACCGCCTTTAGTTTTATTCACTAATTGCTTGATAATTTATACCAAATAAACAATATTATAATGCTAATACATGGCAACTTTATACATAATACTATTTAAGAAGCAATTTTTATTTTAAAAGCTTTATAGTACTAAATTAATTTTAAACCGACGCCATACAATGATAAGAGTATTTTTTCAAATACTCTATATACGCTTTTTAAGTATTTGATACAGATTTTCACCAAAAATCATACGTTAATCAGTTAGCGTCAACTATATATTCTAATATTTTACAATGTTTCATATTTCACCTTTCAAAGTGAACTGTATCGTTCTCTTACTACCCAGACAAACGGAAACATACTTGTATAGAATATTTTATTTAAAAAATAATTTTGAATGTTGACTTCTTGATCAGTATAGCGCCTGTTATTACGCACGTGTTGCTTCTATTACAAGATGACTTCTCACGATATTATCAATTTTGTTTTATCTTTGTGTGTAGTTAACGTTGACAAGAGTGGTGGTTAACAAAAGGTTTCTGTTTCTCCTTTATTTTAGAGCATATTTTAAGATTTTGACTTCACTGCATCCAAATAATTAGCTTTTTTTTAATTATATCCCTTTATTTTATTGAACTAGGTTAAAACAAAGAATTAAACCGTAAAAAACCGCACACTATATTACATGGACAGTTCCTTCACCTGATCACACAGATTACCAAAAGATATATCTATGACGAAGTACAGTATAATTATTTCGATGCTACAACTTAAATGGAAATAGATAGTGCATTCTATCCATTGTCCACGTAAGTCTATGTATATTTCCAATTGATCAATGAGTTTGTCATGGAGACATCCCCGTCTCCATGGAGACGACGGAGTGATGGAGCGACGGAGGCGGAAGGAGCGTAGACACAGACGAAGGGTCATATAGAGCGTAGCCGTCTGGTCTAGATCGTGGAGTCCAGTAGTCGTCGGTCAGCAGTTATGCGTGGAGGCGCCTAGCAACAACATGGTCAGCGAATTACCAACGTACCTGCGCACCTTGTACAGGCAAAGTGCTCTGGAAATAAGCGAATATTCATATCATGTACTGGCGAGACGATTGGAAAGTGATCCGAAATGTTATCGAGACAGAAAGTTTAGTTGGGACATGTTATTGCAAGTTGTGTGACGAGACAAGGGAATTGTTAGGGATTTGACATTATATGGTTGGAAATAATACGTGATAAGAGATGAGCATGTTGTTAGGAATGGGAAAAGTAAAATGATAAATTATCTTAAGGGACAGAAAGGAATTGTTGGGAATGGGACAAGAAAATAATGGAACTATTATGTGATAAGATAATTATAATTTTTTTGAATGGGACTAAGTAAGATTATAAATTATTTGTAGAATAAGAGACAGAAGGGAATAGTTGGGAACATGGCAAGGAAAGAGTTTAAATATTAGGTAATAAGAGAATGAATGCATTTTTAGGAATGGGACTAAGTAAGATAATAAATTATATGATAAGATAAAGTACAGAAAGAAATTGTTATGAATGAATGGGACAGGGAAGGATTGGAAATATTATGTAATGAGAGACGGAATGTATTTGTCCTTTTAA